ACTTCTTAAAAAGTGACTTTAAATTTTTATTCATTTACAAAATTCAAGCTCAGTAGATAGCAATTTTTTAATGAAAAATACTGTTTTCCTAATTGTAATTAGAGCGGTACATTTTAGTTTTGTAAATATGCCTGGCTTACTAAGACAGCTAGATACCACAATCTGCTCTGCCATCAACGTGAGATCCCCTGCAGGTTTTAGAAAGGGTGTGTGTCTGTCCTCAAATCAACTTTAGAACATTAGCTTGGGATGACACTGTGTACAGAAGGGAGCCAATGCTCTATTGTGGAGCTGAGACAGTATGTGGTCACACCTGGGCTCATTTCCTGCCTTACTGCAGTAGGCCTAGGACCAGCTGAGAGGCCTATTATCATGTAGCTGGCAGCATTTCCTTATGGCCCAAAGCATAACCAATAACCAAATTAGAGTAAAGCTCTTTCCCCTTCTGAGTAAGAGAACACTATGTAATCTATACTTGACCATCTATAGCTAACAGCCACGAAACAATTACACCTATGTGTATTTAAGTTTCTACAATTCAGCAACTTCATTCTTATCTGTTTTCGATGTGGCCACAACTCCACCTACAGCCTGAGCCTAGATCAGTATGGTTAAGCCAGAATCCTAGTACTGGGCACCTTATCACTGAACTTTTTAACCCTTACTGGAGAATTGGACTGAGCCCTCCAAAGCGGTGCTCACTGGCTACCCAGAGCACAGCACAGGGTGTCACTCTTTCCTTGGGATAAATCTTTACTCGTTTCCTTCTGTTCCCACGCAGTAATCTGGTGGCTGCCTATGAAAAGGCAAAGAAGAAGCATCAAAACAAGCTGAAGAAGTTGGAATCTCAGATGATGGCCATGGTGGAACGACATGAGACCCAAGTGAGAATGCTCAAGCAAAGAATAGCTCTTCTGGAGGAAGAGAACTCCAGGCCACATACCAACGAAACTTCACTTTAACGGGCGCTCGGGCACCAAAATTCCATCCCAAGGGGCTAAACTCTAGCTGCTCTGAGGTCCTCAGAAGAGGAAAGCCGAGGAAGGAGCCACTGTTGGAAGAGTGGGAAAATTTCATATAGGTCACAGGCTCCACCTTGGGGTATGTGGTCATGGTGGCACAGTGGACTATTGTATGCACAGGCTCCAGCTGTTCCAGGCCTAGCCACATGGTTAGCCTTGCCTTGCTTCTGCTTTGAGTATTCAAGTGCTTCTGTTCTCACTTGTTCTGTGTATCAGTGGGAATCCAGGCATTTGGTTTTATATGGATTTCTGAGCCCCCTCCCCCTTTTCTTCTTTTCACACCTGGATTTCTTCCTTCCTCTTCCAAGGAAAAGGCAACAGTGTTTTTGTGTCTCCAGCATCTAGTGCTGGTAACTCATCTCAGCAAGGCTCTGCTTTCCAGGTTCCATGGTACCAGTAAAACTTAAAATACTCTTTGATATATGCAGTGAAGCTAAGTTTACCAGGGATTTCTTCCAGAACAGAAAAAAAAAAAAAAAAAAAAAAAAAAAAAAAAAAAAAAAACT